GACAGTGGTTGGAGGGAGAGGTGCATTTAATGTGTTTGTGTGCCTGTGTTGTGGTCATTGAGGACTTCAGTTTTTTTGGTGTACTTTCTTGGCACTCCTGCTGCATCCTGTGGTTTAATGTGTTATTTTTCAGTACTTAAGGAAATAAATTACTTATGGGTGGGTTCTGACAAGAAAAGAAGAACAGTACCTGAAAAAAATGAGGGTATGCACATGCATGGGCACCTGCCAAAACCAGTAGGTTAAGGCCAAATGGCCCAGGGGTCTATTTAGTCGTTCTGGTTCAGACATACCAGCTCTTATGAGTCCCTCTACTACTAGTAGAATCTGCAGCAGAATCTTCAAAAAGTTGCAATTTTGTCCAGTTGCATTTTCTCCCTCGAGTAGACACTTGCAAATGAAATTCTATGATTAAATCAAACTAGTCAAAGCWAAAAATTGCTCTTGTGACACGTGAATAAAATCTCAATCCTCATTATCAGCCAATCAGATTGCTGGATTCTTACTGAAATATTAGTATTATCCCTAACTCTAAAATATCGCCAAAATCGACGTGAAATGCCATTTTTGGTCAAAATGAACACCTGTTAGATGGGGAGCTTCGCTTCCGGGATCACCGATGCAGTTTTGACACACGTTATCAAAAAAGTGCCTTCGATAATGATAACTTCCGTAAAGCAAGATTCACTTTCACACTTACGGAGAGAAAAGATCCTAAATGAAAATTTATTCTCCAGTCTGCTGCTGTCGAATAAATTGAAGTTAGTGACCAACTTCGCGCAGATATGGAAGTCGAATTTTATCATGCTGTATTTCACATTATTCTCATTCGCTGATCACAGATCATCATTGACTAGTTCGATTCAGATTTAGAAACGATTGTGCCAGGACCTTTTTTGTGTATTTTCATCTGTTTCACGACAACGCACTGCGTACCTGTGAAGGTAGAAACTACTGCTGAACAACCTCTCGGAAATACCGTTCTGTACAAGCTTCGAATCCCAAGGCACCAACTAAGGCGACCGGTGAAATAGGAGAGAACTCTTGAGAGTCTGTTCGAAATACGGGTACAGCTACTAGGAGCACGTGAAATYTATGATCCTGTTTTTTGAGTTTCGAATCAACTCATCTGTAACGCAGTTCAGCTTCTACTACTAGTACGAGGTCTATTGGACGAACCTTACCGTACCGYGCAGTACAGTACCCTAYTGCAGRCCTTTTGCTCTGTCTGTTTTCAGTATCGTTAAAAGTGCGGTAGCATCAAGCATCAATAAGTTGCGGTGTGCCCGGCCAAACCAACAGCGTTGCCTGACACTTTTGCAGTTGCAAGGAGATAGAGATCAAGGAGAGCTCCTGGCTTTGAGCGCCTTGATACCGAGAGATTGAATAGAGCGATTACCGGAAGTCGAACTTTAACCGCCTAGATAGCTGTTGTACTACTAGTCGCTACTCAAGTGCAAAAAGTGATTCTGAATATCTGCGCAATTCCTTTGGGTTTCTTTTAGGATACTTTCCAGGAATTAGAGACTTGCAAGTTGCCGGCTGCTTGATGGTCTAAAGAGACAGATACTGCATCCCGGCAAGTCACAAATTTTAGTCACAAGAATTTTGTTTCTTGTGCGTTGTTTCTCTACAGCAATAAAGAGAGAGGGAAGTGCCAATATTTCCATCCAGTGGGCAAACAAAACAATTCATACTGCACATCGCCGTCCATTGAAAGCACCAAAATGGCTTCTCCAACTCCATCTCCCAGCAAGTCTTGGATGACAGACTCACAAGGGAACCATTTGTCGAAAACCGGAAYGACCTCAACCCCACCTGGCTTTGTTGCTCAATCAGGTTTGTGGTCCGAGAATGGTGGAATCGCTGCTACCGGTAGCCAAAATGCGGATGCTGTTTCGACGGGCGATAAAACACGGCCGGAGCGCAGGCGGAATGAAAGGACCTCTAGTTTCAACAATATTGCAGCAGCACTTGGAAGCGGGCTCGCAGAATCCATGGAAGATGCAACTCGTGGGGACCATATTTCCGCATCTCATCACGGCGACAACGCCAATCATAACCAGAGCAATATTTCGAACGGCCCTGCAACTCTGACGGACAGCTTTTTCAACCCAATCGAGAATAACGGCATGGCCTATGAACGCCACAAACGCCACTCTGCCTCGAGACTTGTTGGTGTACCTGGAGCGTCTACTTCGTCTGCGACCAGCAGTCACAAGACCCCCGAGACAGGACCATTGTTTGTGGCATCTTTGAACTCGGGTGAAGCACGTTCCAAGTCATTTAATAGCAGAAATGGTGGAAGTCACCTAGTCGGTGACCAAAGTAACATGAGCAGTTCTATCGACAAAGGCCACTGTCCGGGAGCGATAATCAATGATTCATCGATTGCTGCCTCTCCTTTCTCTCAAGATAAGAATGCCTCGGCCTTTCATACGTCGTACGATGAAGTGCAGTCAAACTCGACTATGCAAACCAATCGAGGTCAACTCAACAACGTGGGTGATACGCAAGGAAACGGTCACATTAAATCGAGGTTACCTGTGACAAAAGATATCGGTTTGACGGTCAATGAACCATCTGATTACTCCTTTGCAGACAGTGGAGGAGTCTCAAACATTCCAAATCGCAATTTTTCTAATTTTGGTATGAATAGGGTTGGAAAACCTGACGTGAATTTTACATATGGCATTCAGCAAGACATGCAAAACCTCTGGTCCGACGCAGGTGGTAGCAGAGGTGGAGGGGGGAATCTGAGTCCCACTGGTAAACCTCAGTCGTCCAATCGAACTATCGAAAGTATGGACGGTGGTGGTGTCGGGATCATCGACGGAAACCGCCATCGTGGATCCTCACCACAAGGCATAGATGCGGAAAACGATTTACGTCCCTTTACATGGGATACTAATCAACATGAAACTAGTAGAACGTTGGCGATTTTCAATGCAGCCGCAATTCCGTGCAATCAAATCGAGGAGCTGTGCGACAATTTTGGAGCAATAGAGAATTTCCGCTCAGAATTTTGGGAACGCGTTGGTGTCATCTTCATCAGCTATTTTGATATGCGTAGCGTTCAGTTTGCGGCTATGCAGTTGCCGAGAAGATTGCAAGGGTTGCATCCAACGGGCGGAAACATTCATATCAAATATTGTATTCCAATTAACTCGTCTTCTCAGAACGATGAAAGTTTGGTTGTGATCAACGATTTACCTGGTCAAATCGGTCAAAGCAACCTTGGGAGCTATTTGTCGCAATTCGGAGCGATACGCTCTCTGCGATCAGGAAGTTACGGATCTTTTATTGCAGAATTCAATGATCTCCACGATGCGAGACAAGTGGTTTACGAACTCGAAACTCGTCAGCCCTGGGGACCCGACGTCAGCATTGAGGTAGGTATTAGAAGTCCTGCTGATCGAAAGAAGGGACGAGAACTCCTCGCTCTTTTAGGTCGYTGGCGTACCAAAGGTGGTGCAGGGCAAGGAGCGCCACCAAACAGAGGAAGGCAACTAGTCAATACACCTGATACGTATCGGTCACGTCCTGACTCTAGAGGTATGGGGGGCCATAGAGATGGTAGATACGAAAGAGGTATGCATAATGAAGACCATCCTTCACAGCTCGGTTATGGTCCAGGGCCTCAAGATGCGAGATATAATCACGGTGGTAATACTTATGTCGTTCATCACAACCAACACCAGCATCCGAGTTATTCATCTTATAGAGGCTCTCATCACCCCAATGATCATATAGGTCACGGCGGACATGGCCATCATGGAACTTACATGAACCGTCCAGTGAGTCACCAGCCGTCACCTCATCAACAACAGTACTACCAACAGCCTCATATAAATCACGGTAATTTTCCTGGGGGCAGCTCAGTAATTTCGGCTGGAAGTTCTCGCCATACAGGTACATCAGGATACTACACAGATGACAGGTCAATAGGAAGTCACACTAGTCATGGTTCAAACATGCGAAGCATCAACTCCCTTGTTGACAGTATGGCAGGAAGTTCTAGGGACGGACAAAGCCAGAATCTGATACTAGATTTGGAATTAGTCGAGAATGAATTGGATAAAAGGTCTTCACTGATGGTTCGAAATATCCCCAACAAATACACCCAGCAAATGTTATTGAATGAATTTACAGAAAACGGCCACGGTCCTGGGATCATAGATTTCTTCTATTTACCAATCGATTTCAAGAACCGATGCAACAGAGGTTACGCTTTCATTAACTTTGTGGATTATCGTGACATCGTGAAATTTCACCGCCAATACTATGGACAGCACTGGCGAACATTTAACAGCGATAAGATTTGCGATATAACTTATGCAAGAATCCAAACCAAGGCATCAATGCTGAAACGTTTTGAAAACTCAGCTCTGATGGAGAAAGACGAAGAATACAAACCATTGGTTTTTGTCAGCGATGGTCCAGAGAAGGGTAAGAGGCTCCCTTTCCCTGTTTCTTCGAGGGGGTAGCGATGTATCTTGTAGGCCATAATTCAGGATTCGTAATGATTCATCTACTGGAGTTGGCTACTTCGAAGCTGTTGCATACGCTAGCCTGGATTTTTACATCATTTTTGATATTTTACGGAGCGGCTGGCAATGAATAGTCATCGTGATAGTCAATGTCCAAGAGAATAATAGAATGTATTTGATTTGCAGAATTCTGTTCGTTTTTGATAAAGAATAGTTTTCACTCAATAGCATTTTTTGATTTCGAGTCGTATGGTGGGATGATACTGATATCTCAACAACTAATGCATCCCCGAACACAATAATGCTACAAATTTGTAGCCTAAATCTCKTTGGTATGCCCACCAATTTTCTTCGTAAAGGAAGTCCAACTCTTGATCCTTCTACTGTATTCTTGTAGTTCATAGAGTTGGCATTTGACAAATGGTTTAAACTGCAATCCCCAAACACCCCACAAGAATACTCCTCTATTTTATTATTTTTTTAATGATTCAGTGCCCATCACTTTTGAGCTTCAATTGACATCCCAGTTCTCTCTCAAAACTGTAGTTGCATCCCATTTTGTTTCTTATGCAAAATTATTAGGTTGCTCAAATTCTGCCCCTCATGTCTACTATGTAATGCCTTGAGTGATTCGAAAAATTGCACTGAAGTTGGCTACTGAGTATATATGAGAGACTAGAGATTTTGGTTGCACAAGAGTCTTGCACAAGAAAAACATAAATGTGCTAGAGGAGCACATACAACCAGCATAATGATGTGTAGTTCAAACCATCCTTTTAAAAAATGTGTTTCTTGTGCACAAHTATACTACTAACACAAATMAATCACAGGAGAAAACCACCTTCTTGTCAGGGACAACTCAACAAATAGACATTGACTTACTAATGAAATTGAATTCCTGTCAAAACCCTTTATCAAAGTTGTAGGGTTTTGCATCTATATGCATTGCTATTGGATGAGATTTAAATACAAGAATGTCTAATAAATGAGAAAATGTTTAATTGATCACTCATTGCTTCAAAGGTTCTTCCGGATATTTTGATGGTATGGCATATTTTCTGTACTTCTGAAAACATCAAAACTACAAAAGAAAACAATTTAACCAGCAATGCAGCAGCAAAAATGACAACATCACTAACAAAGGGGGTTCCTCTGCAAAATTGAGGATGTAGACAACACTTCAAGCACCACCTTGCCTCCTGTGCCTAATTCATYAGTCAAAGACATTTGATTTTTGAGGTTTTATTTGATCAGCATGTGAAGCCTTTGGGTGGGAGAAGTGGTAGAAGGGGTGTTGATGTTGCTGTTCATTTTTGCACCAGCAAAATGGGTGACAACAAGAGGAAGCAAGTGCAACATGATGTAGTACAAAGTCACCAGCAAGAAGGTTTCATGGGGGAACAAGGGACAGCATAGAAAAACATCTTAATAGTACATTGCTTGAGCCTAGTGAACTAGTAGATTTAGTGCAAGGTGGACCAGAACCACCACTTTGAGAAGGGAGAAAAATGCTCCTATTTGCTGCAAGGGGCAACACCTCCAAAGAGGTAAGACCAGGGAACGCCAGACATACCTGGTTATCAAAGAATTACTACAAAGTGATAAAATGGCACTACACAGATTGATCTTCCTATTGGGGTTGCTTTCACTGAATAGTATTACTAGTAGTATCCTTTTTTGGATGGATTGAAGTGTCAATTTTGAGGGAGTAAAGTTTAGATTAGATATAAAGGATAAGCAGACAGACTTCTACTAGTATTAGTGGACAGGCATGGTACTACTACTAGAATAAGTACTATTGGTGATTGTATCAGTATAAGTGAAGTGTGATATATGGGCCATATATCATACTTCAAAGATGTTTCAGAAAGACAAAGTACTTGCCTTTTAAATATCCTGTTGTAGTTTTCAAGTTTTTCTATCGTATAGGCTTGGCCAGCAAATGTACCAAGAAGTGGAATTGCCAAGATAGTATGAATTCACATGATTAGTGGCAAAATTTAGTGAGCAGCTGGTCGGTTGAGGTGCAAATGGATTGTGGGACTGAAAACCGTTGAGTCTAATGACTAGTCTTTACACGATAAAAAGATAGCCCAAAATTGTCGCATACTATTGTGTAGCGTTGGCCAGCCAATGTACGGTTATAACCTTGGATTTTTGGCCATCTTTTTCCTGTGTAAAATATGTCGAGCGCGCCGACTGACATCACGAAATCTTGTCGGAACACACCATTTTTTCTATAGAAATTTTGTCATGATGTCTGTCGGAGTGCTTGAAATAAAGTCTCGATGAACATATTTACCTACAATAACATCCGATGCTGCACCTTTACTGATACTCTATGATTATGATGCTGATGGCAGCAAGGCAACTCGTTGTCCATTGTTGGACACAGAGGAGTCCTCACGACCATGTGCTGAAGGTACCATAATTCCAGTGAGAGCGCTTCTCRTTCCGACAACCAACATCCGCTTGCCCCCCCTCCACCAACACTATCAGCATCAATATTAAGCAACAGTATCTCTCCAGCAGCAACAATATCAGCAACACTATCAGCAACACTATCAGCAACACTATCAATCCAAGGAAGCTTCCACGCGTCGACGCTATCAACGAATCGACGAATCGACAATATCAGCATCCTCCATATCAGCGACTTGTATCAGCGACTCATATCAGCAACTCGTATCAGCGACTCGTATCAGCATCCTCCGTATCAGCATCCTTCGTATCAGCATCCTCCGTATCAGCGGACACAGTACCAACAACAGTATCACCAGTAAAAGTATCAGCAACGCCATTGATCAAAGGAAGCTTCCAACGCGTCGACGCTATCAACGAATCAACGAATCAACACTATCAGCATCCTCCATATCAGCGACTCGTATCAGCGACTCGTATCAGCATCCTCAGTATCAGCGGACACAATATCAGCAGTATCAACAACAGTATCACCAGTAAAGACGCTATCAACAAATCGACGAATCAACGCTATCAGCATCCTCCATATCAGCGACTCGTATCAGCGACTCGTATCAGCATCCTCAGTATCAGCAGACACAGTATCAGCAGTATCAACAACAGTATCACCAGTAAAGACGCTATCAACAAATCGATGCCACTCAACAATATAACCAACCGACGTTCATCAAGAACAAGGACAACACGACAACAGTTGGGGTTGGGGTTGGGGTTAACACGGCAACCAGCCTTACGACAACATCGAGCTCTCTTTGAGTCCCAAGAATCCGCCTTTGAAGCTGCCTTTGAGTTAGAATCAGATGTGGAAACTTTGTTTGAGGATGAGGACAGCTCAACTGATGAGGAAGTTGAAGAAACTGAGCGTCTGCCTTTGACGAGGAAGCAGCCTTTCAGTTAGAATCAGATGTGGAAACTTTGTTTGAGGATGATGAAAGCTCAAGTGATGAGGAAGTTAATGAAATGGAGCTGGAGCCTAATTATGATCCAGAAGCTTCTGGAATGAGTGACGAGGAGGCTGCACAAGCAGAGTTCTTTAATGTAATCACTCAGAGTCAACAAACAGCTTGGAATTGGGACAATGCAGTTGAGCCTCACGATACAGAGTTCTTTTTTTGGAAAGATGGAACCATTGTTGATAACAGTCTTAATTATCCAAAGGTCCCAGTGGGTTATGAAAGGAAGGATCCTAAGGTTGATAAAGG